GGCCAAGCAGCATCATAGGAGCTGCTCGGCCTGCTGTGTTCATCCAGCTCTACACCTTGTTATCGAAGAACAGTAGTTGGTTCTCTTTGTCCATAGGTGCCTGAGTCTTAACTATGATTGCAAAACATTGTCTGCACCATTAGTAGCAGCAGTACGTACGGTCTGCAAGAAGCACTGCAGTTAATTCACCAGTATTCCTTTGATAGCACCTTCCATACCCACCACCTTGACTACTGAGAAGAGCAAGCACATTGTCATTCCTTTCTTGTCGCTGGGTTTATATCCTAGAACACTCTCTAACATTACTGTGGTTGTTCTAACTATAACAAATACTGAAACAGTTCAAGAAGGCAGCTCATGGCAAGTAAGAATGAACAACATATCCTGACTAACCAGTGACGCACACATTCTGTAAATTAATTAAAAATTAAGTATCATAAGGGACCTGGGTAGAAAGAATCTATTTTAGTGGTGGAAGGATTGAGATCAAGAGGTCACAGATTTAAGATAATTGGCAAAAGAAACAATGATTTCCTGCCCTAAAAGACATTGGTGAACAGGCAGGTCATTGTAACAATTAATAGTGATTACTGTTGGACATTCAGCTAATTTATAAACTCTAATATTTTATTGAATTCAAATTTCACTGTCTACCAAGGTAGGATTCAAATGCACATCCCCAGAATGTTAATAAATAAAAACAGAAAATGCTGGAAAAAGTCAGCAGGTCTTGCACTGTCTGTGGAAAGGGAAACAGTTAGCATTTTGAGTCCAATATGATTCTTCAGAACCCCAAAGTTCTCTGGAATTCAAAAGGAGAAACTTTTGGATTTGAAATGTTCATCCAAGTTCTCTCCCCACAGATGCTGTGAGACCTGCTGAGCTTCTCCAGAGCTTTGATTTTGTTTCAGATTTCTAGTGTCTGTGGTATTTTGCTTTCCCCAGAACATTAAGCAGGTGTTCTGGATTACTAATCCAGTGACATTACCACTACACCACTGTTTCCCTCAAAATCTGAAATATCTGAAAATAAAAAAAATCATCATTATAAATTATAATTTAACGAGGCCAGTAGTTTCTTAACTGAACTTGAGATCTTGGAAAACAGTAAGTTGTGAGGCTTCTTGTAATTGAATTGCCAGAGCTCAGTTGGAAGAGCAGTAGCAGAAGAGAGTAGCGGAGTGAACCTGGGGGTGACTGGCAGCAGCAGAGCTTCCAGATTAAAATCTGAGGAATAGGGTCCAGATCAAATTCAGTCAGAGCAGCAGCAAGAGAGAAGCAGTGTGAACTGAATCCAGAGGGGGGAGCTCCTGAGGTGATGCCATAGTTCAAAAAGTGATATAGAGCAAGAGGATTGGCTACTTGGGAACCAATTTTAGAGAGTGAGTGAGTAGTACCAGGAGGGAGACAATCCTTATTTTTGTGGTTGTAGTTTGTTAGGAATAGAGAGTGAGAGAAAGAAATCTGATTTTGATAAGTGGTGCGTAAGATTGAGTAATTGGTTCCTAGCTTATTGTCTGTATCTGATAAGGTTTGCCAAGGCAGGAGAACTTGGCCCTGTGGAATGATCCTCCTGCAATATGTGGGGAAATCAGTGAAGTTCGGGTGCTTGGTGATCAGTTAGTTGTGTCTCATGGTGATCAGTTATGCAGGAAGTGTTCAGCTTCAACCCCTGTTTGATTGTTTAAAGCAGCTGGAGCTGTTGACCTGTGGATGGACTCTCAGTTGTGTATCTATGATGTTGTAGATAGCACGTTTAGCAAGCTGCTCATTTACAGATAAGGGCTACAGAGGCTGAAAAGCATTTGTTGACCAATAGGAAGATGTGTGGAATCATCATAGAATCCCTATAGTGTGGAAGCAGACCATTCAGCCCATTGAGCCCACACCAATCCTCTGAAGAGCATTCTACCCAGACCTCCCTGCTCCCACACATCCGTGTAACCTTGCAATTCCCATGGCTAACCCACCTAGCCTGTACATCCCTGCACATTGTGGGCAATTTAGCATGGCTGATCCACTTAACCTGCATCTCTTCGGACCATGGGAGAAAACTGGTGCACCCAGAAGAAACGGGGAATATGTGCAAACTCCACAAAGTTGCCCAAGGATGGAATCAAACCTGTGTCGCGACAGGACAGATTTCTACAGAAACTTAGCACCCATGGACCAGTCGTACCAGGAACATTCCTCGTCACAATGGATGTTTCGGCAATCTACACCAGCATCCCCCATGATGACAACATTGCTGCAACAGCCTCAATACTCAATACCACCAACTGTCAATTTCCAGATGCCATCCTACAACTCATCTGTTTCACCTTTGGCCACAACGTCTTCACCTTCGATAGCCAGTTCTTCGTTCAGACACATGGAGCAGCCATGGGGACCAGATTTGCTCCCCAACACGCCAACATTTTCATGCACAGGTTCAAACAAGACTTCTTTGTTGCACAGAAGTCTGACCAAAGCTATAAACCAGATACATTGACCACATTTTCTTCCTTTGGACTCATGGCGAAGAGTCACTGAAACAACTACATAGTGATACCAACAAGTTTCATCGCAGAATCGGACTTATCATGGACTACTATTTAAAAATCAGTCTCATCCTTGGACACACGCATACATAGAACATAGAACATCTCAATCAAGGACAGTTACCTCCGTACCTCACTCTATTGTAAGCCTACAGATAACCTCACGATGCTGCACTTCTCTAACTTCCATCCGAAACATATTAAAACAGCCACCCCCTACAGACAAGCCCTACGCATACACAGCATCTGCTCAGATGAGGAGGAACGAAACGGGTACCTTAAGGTGTTGAAGGACGCCCTCGTAGGAACAGATGCGATGCTCAACTCATCGATTGCCAGTTGAACGTGCCACAGCAAGAAACCGGAATGACATCCCCAAAAGACAGACATGGGATACGTCCGATAGGGTGCCCTTTGTCATCCAGTACATGCCGGAAATGGAGAAACTACGCCCCATTCTTCGCAGCCTTCAACACATTATTGATGACAATGAGCCACCTTGCCAAGATCTTCCCCATGCCTGCACCTCTCACCTTCAAACTACTGCCAAACCTTAAACAGACCATTGTTCGCAGCAAACTACCCAGCCTTCAGGATAACGTCAACTACAATACGGTACAACCCTGTCATGGTAACCTCTCAAAGACATGTCAGATCTTCGACATGCACGCTACCATCACAGGTGGGAACACCACCCACCACGTGCACGGCAGATACTCGTGACTTGGCCAACATTGTCCATCTCAAATGCTAGGTCTTATGAGGAAAGGCTGAGGGTTTTGAGGCTGTTTTCGTTAGAGAGAAGAAGATTAAGAGGTGACTTGTTAGAGACGTACAAGATGATCAGAGGATTAGATAGGGTGGACAGTGGGAGCCTTTTTCCTCGGATGGTGATGGCTAGCATGAGGGGACATAGCTTTAAATTGAGGGGTGATAGATATAGGACAGATGTCAGAGGTAGGTTCTTTACTCAGAGAGTAGTAAGGGCGTGGAATGCCCTGCCTGCAAAAATAGTAGACTCGCCCACTTTAAGGGCATTTAAATGGTATTTGGATAAACATATGGATGATAATGGAATAGTTTAGGTTAGATGGGCTTCAGATAGGTTTCACAGGTCGGCGCAACATCGAGGGCCGAAGGGCCTGTACTGCGCTGTAATGTTCTATGTTCTATGTTCTACAGACAAGGATGTCCCTAGTCATGGTGCATTAGTGAAACCATGCAGACACTACGACAATGGATGAATGGGCACTGCGTAACAATCGCCAGACAGGAATGTTCCCTCCCAGTTGGGGAACATTTCAGTGGTCGAGGACATTTGTCCTTGGATCTTCACGTAAACTTCCTCCAAGGTGGACTTCGGGATACCCAACAATACAGAGTTGCCAAGCAGAGGCTAATAGCCAAGGTCGGTACCATGAGGATGGCCTCAATCAGGATCTTGGGTTCATGTCGCACTACAGGTGACCATAACACACTATACACGAAACATGCTCTCGCTCCTCCCCCACACTCTCTCCCTCACCGCGCGCACAGTCTCTCTCCTCCCCCCGCCCCTTGCGCTCATGCAACTATGGGGTGAATTTATATCTGCAGTTACATGTTATTTTGTTCAAAAAGCACACAATTTATAGACAGAACACCATATTGACTGACTGACTATGAATTCCTATTCTGGAAATAAAACCAGTCTGACTCCAAACCAAAACATAAGCAGATTCTAAACAAGGTCTCACACCTAACATGCATTATCTGACCTAAAATGTCACCTCTTCTTTACACTAATAAAACTTTTAGTTCTCTCAGGACAGTGACTTCAAAGGAATTCAAGGATTTACATATACGTATTAATCAATTAAAACCTTCTAACTGATTAAAGATTTAACACTATCTTAGGTTTGTTTAGTATATCCTCAAAGGTCTTTGATCTTTTACTTTGTCTGATACTGCATCTTTCACTAACACCTGAAGAAGTACTGAGGCTCTGAAAGCTTGTCTTTTCAAATAAACCTGTTTGACTACAACCTGGCGTTACGTGATTTCTGACTTTGTCCACCCCAGTCCAACACTGGCACTGGCACCGGCACCTCCACACTCAAATGGTATGGTACCTCCTAAAGTCAGGGTTAGGGATGTCTTCAAATGAGGCCATCTGGGTACAGCTTTGGAAAAAGACGTGATCACTTTGCTGATATTATACTATAGGCCTCTCAACAGTCAGCGGGAGATAGAGTAGATATTAAGGCAACTCACACGTGCAACAGAAACAGGGTTATAGCTGTAAGGATTTTAATTTTGCAAATATTAATTGAGATTGCCTTAGTGTGAAACATTAGATGGGTTGGAATTTTTAAAGTGCGTCTAGGAGAGCTTTTGTACTAGTATACAGACAGTCCTACTAGAGGTTAGGCCTAATCCTTGACCTAATCCAAGGGAATAAATCTGGTCAAGTGGTTCTTTCAGTGGGTGAGTATTTTGGAGATAGTTACTGCAGTGGCGGGAACATAGCACAGCTGAGCGAACCTGGGCTGAACAATGGCAGGAGCTACTGGATAAATACCTGTAGAGTGACATCAGTCAGTGTGGGACCGAGATGGGGGGAGTGGAGCTGAATCCAGATATAGAGCTCTAAACATTAAGTTCCAGCTCAGAAAGTGACGTAGGCTTGGCTGTTCAGGAACCAGGTTTAGAGACTGAGTCAGTCATGTTCGGAGGGAGATAGAATATAAAATCCTTACTTTTATTGTTGCAGTGCCACTTGAGGATTTAAACTCGTGTGGTGGAGGATGGGGACCAGAGCAATACATCGTATGGAGTGTTTGAAGAGAAGAGAGGAGCGAAATCAAGTCTCTAGTAAGAACAACAGGCAGGGCCAAGTTAATGAATACAGCAAGATTAGCAGTCTGAAATATATTTAATGCAAGAAGTATAACGGATAAGGCAGATAAGCTTAGGGTCTGAATTAATACATGGGACTACGTTGTGGTGGCCATTACAGAACCTTAATTGAAAGAGAGTTAGGACTGGTACTTCACCATTCCAGAGTTTAGATGTTTCAGGCATGATAAAAAGTGATGTAAAAGAGGGCAAAGGATTTGTATTACTGATCAATGAGAATGTCACAGCTATACTAAGGGAGAACACCTTGGAAGGCTCATCCAGTGAGGCAAAACGGGTAGAACTAAGAAGAAAAGGGCACTCATCATGATGAGATTATACTGTAGGCCTCCCAATAGCCAGCAGGAAATAGAAGAATAGATATTAGCAAATCATGGAAAAATATTTTAAAAATACAAGGTGGTTGTGGTGATTTTAATTTCCCCAATATTCACTGGGACTCCTTTAGTGCCAGGGGCTTAGATGGGGCAAAATTTGTTACGTGTATCTAGGAGAGATTCTTGATATGTATATAGGCCAGTGAGGGAAGGGACCATATTAGACCTTGTCCTGGGGAATGAGCCTGGCCAGGAAATTGAAGCTTCAATGGAAAAGCATTTTGGGAACAGTGATCATAGTTCTAAGTTTTAAGGTAGTTATGGAAAAGGATAAGACTGGTCCTTCAGTGAAAGTACTAAATTGAGAGAAGGCTAATTACAATAATATTAGGCAGGAACTGGAATTGTTGGATTGGGAGTAGTTGTTTGAAGGTAAATCCACATGGAAGTCTTTTAGAAATCAATTGACCAGCACTGAGGACCAGCATGTTCCTGTGAGGATGGATGATGAGGATGGCAAGATTCGGGAATTTTGGATGATGAGATGTTGTAAGTTTAGTTAAAAAGAAATTGAAGTACGTGCAAGATTTAGGAAACAAATGTAACATTGCTCGTTGTTTGAAGTAGAAGAAAGCAGAAGTAGAAAAAAAAATTAGAAGAGCTGGAAGGACCAATGATCTTGGCAAGTAAGATTAAGGAAAATCCCAAGGCATTTCCTTATATTAGGAGCAAGTGGGTAACTGGGGAAAGGGTAGGTCCACTCACCACACTCGGTAACATCATCAGTGAGGCCTCCAATGATGCAATGTTGTTTTACTCCACTTGGATTTTATACTGTCTGGTCCATCATTTCCGGTTTTGTTCTCTGTGAGTTTGTACGTAGGGTCCAATTCTATATGTTTGTTGATTGCCTTATGGGTTGAGAACCATACCTCCACAAATTCCCATGCGTGTCTATGTTTGGCCTTCATGGCTACCCTGGAAACTACATTAAAGGACAACAGACTCATGGACGAAACGCAGCAAGTCATCTGACAAACTAAAATCCCCACACTAAACCGAAGGAACAGTTGGGACACCCTGAACGTATTGGAGAGAAAAGCACTAGATAAACTCAAGACAGACAAGAACATTATAATTCTACCAGAGGACAAAGGGCGCATGACCGTCATTATCAGCAAATAGGACTACGTTAAGAAAGCAGATACAAACACTTACCAACAGGTGGCAATAGACCCAACTCTACAGCTAGGTGACACTGAAGAGACTAAAGGATGCAGAACAGATAACTAAGACTGACTACGTGAGAATGAAACCAATCCCCCCACTTCTGTGGACTTCCTAAAGAACACAAACCAGACATCCCCCATTGACCCAGTTTTTCCCTACCGGGCACACCTTCACACAAGCTGGCCAAGGACCTACAACAGAGACTGAAAAACCTAGGTGACGGATCACCCCAATCCATCCACTCAACCCAAGAATTCCTCAATACCCTCAACATAAAAATCAGCGATAATGCGGTTATGGTATCCTTTGACATCACAGCATTATTCGCGTCACTCGACATCCCACTGGGCACATTACTAGAGGAAGCAGGAATGCAGACCAGCAGCTCCATCAGCAATGACAACATACTCAAACTACTAGACCTGTGCCTCACCACACACTTCGTCTTTAATGGTCAAGTATACAGACAGATCAATGGCATCCCAATGGGGTCACCCATCTCGGGACTCATTGCAGAGGCAGTTATGCAAAGACTAGAACACACCACCCTCCCCTGCATTCAACCTAAACTGTGGATCCAGTTGTAGACGACACGTTTGTTGTTATTAATAGCAACAAACTAGAAGGGACCCACCGCCTCATCAGCAACGTATTCATGGGGATTAAATTCATGAGAGAAGAAGAAAACAACAATCCGTTTCCGTTTCTGGATGTCACAGTTGAACATATGATGAACAGGGAGTTCCAAACCTCAGTATACAGGAAAGCAACCCATACTAACCAAATCCTCAACTTCCACAGCAACCACCCCAATGTCCACAAACAAAGGTGCATTAAGACACTATTTAAACAGGCCACCATTCACTGCAACACTCCAGAATCAACCAGGAAAGAGGAAAAGCACCTATACAAAATCTTTGCTATGACCGATATCCCCGCAACTTCATCTGCCAGTGCCTACTAAATAGACACGAGAACACAGTACGCCCTAGCATATTGGCCACATTGCCCTCCTTCAAGAACTTATCAGAACTGATAATGAGACTCCTAAGACCACTAGCAATCATGGTAGACACAAATCCACAGCCACGCTACAACAAACATTCAAGGATTCAAGACCTCATTCCCACAACATGCAGAACCAATGTAGTTTACAAAATACCATGCAGTGGCTGCCACATTGGACAGACAGGAAGGAAACTAGCCATCAGAATACGTGAACATCAGCTAGCAGCAAAATGACGTAATGAACTTTCTTTAATATCAGTAAACTCGGACAATGAAGGCCATCAGTTTAACTGGGACAACGTAACCATAGTAGCCCAAGCCAAGCATAGACACGAACAGGAATTCCGAGAGCCATGGTTCTCAAGCCAGAAGGCAATCAACAAGCATCTAGAATTGGACCCCATTTACAAACCTATACAGAACAAAACTGGAATTGACGGACCGGTATAAATTCCAAGTGGAGTAGAACAACATTGCTTCATTGGAGGCCTCACTGATGTTACCTAGCATGGTGATGAAATGTCTGAACGAAAACCAGCCAGCTTGGTGAGCAAGACAACAACCCGAGCTACAAATTTTTGCTAAAGCTTTAGACTGGAAAATGGCCAATATGTTTTGTTCAAGAAAGCCAACAGGGATAACTGAGGAAATTATAGGCTGCTGAGCCTTACATTAGTTGTCAGGAAATTATAGAGAAGATTCTTAGGGACAGGATTTACTTGCATTTGGTGAAGAACAGACTTATTAGGGATAGATTCTGCAGGGAAGGTCATGTCTCACAAACATGGTTGAGAGTTTTTGAGAAGGTGACGATGAGATTAGGGTAAAGCAGTGGATGTTGTACATGTGGACTTTACTAAAACATTTGACAAAGTCCCTCATGGTAGGTGGTCCAGAAGATCGAATTGTATGGAATCCATTGTCTTTTATGGCCAAGCCAACTTTGTGTCCAACTTGCCAACTCGCCAACTCGCCAACTCGCCAACTCTGAGTGTTTGCCTTCTCCAGTGTCATAATTATGCCACCCGGAAACTGAAGGAGCAGCACCTCATATTCCACCTTGGGAGCCTACAGCCGAATGCCCTAAATGTAGACTTTACCAGTTTCAAAATCTCCCCGCCCCCAGCCTCATCCTATGACCAACCCTGCCTTTCATCCCTGGCTCCTTGACCTGACACAACCTTTCCATCTTCTCTCCTACCTACCCGCTCCTCCCACCTCACTGACCAATCCCCACCACTGCCTACCTGCACACACCTAACTCCATCCCAGCTACCTTCTACAGCTCCACCCCTTCTCTCTGTTTATTTGAGCTCCCCTCCCCCTTCCCCATTTCTGAAGAAGGGTTCTGACCCGAAACTTCAACTTTCCTGCTCCTCTGATGCTGCCAAGTCTGCTGTGTTCCTCCAGCTCCACACTGTGTTATCTCTGACTCCAGCATCGGCAGTTTTTACTATCTCCAACTCTGAGTGTAGTTGTGGAGGGGTGTTTTTCTGACTGGAGGTCTGTGATCAGTGACGTTCAGGATCAGTGGTGGGGCCTCTGTATGTTTTATGTACATGTATGTGTACATATATGTGAACGATTTGGATGAAAATGTAGATGGTCTGACTAGTAAGTTTGCAGATGACTTGAAAATTGGTGGAGTTGTGGGTAGTGAGAAAGGATATCAAATGGTGGTGCAGGATATATATCATCTGGCAAGTTGGACGGAAAAGTGGCAGATGGAGTTTAATCTGGACATGTGATGCAATGCATTTTGGGAGGTCAGTTGCAATAGGAAAGCATGTAGTAAGTGGTAGGACCCTCGGGAGCTTCGATATACAGAAGGATCTTGGAGTATACGTTCATAGATCCCTGAAAGTGACAACCCAAGTAGATAAAGTCAGTGAAGAAGGCTCACGGTATGGTTGTCTTCATTGGTCGGGCCATTGAATATAAAAGTTGGCAGGTCATGTGGCAACTGTAAGATATTGGCCAGGCAGCATTTAGAGTACTGTGTGCAGTTCTGGTCACTGCACTATAGGGGGCTTTGACAAGGGTGCAGAAGGATGTTGCCTGGATTGGTGTGTATTAGCTGTAAGCAGAGGTTGGACAAACTTGTATTGTTTTCGCTAGAGTGTCGGAGGCTGAAGGGCGACCTGGTATATAAAATGACAGGCATGGATAGGGTGGATAGTTGGAATCATATAATGACAACAATGTAAATAGAGGCCATTCAGTCTACATCGACCGTCCGTAGAGCAAGTTCAGGGGACCCTGGATGTCATGGCGTTTGATAAAGAAAAAGAAGGAAGCATGTGTCAGGTACAGCGCAACAGGAGAGGCCCTTCAGAGGTATAGAGTGCATAGGGGTTGCTTAGGAAAGAAATTAGGAGGGCAAAGAGGGACTACAAAATATCTTTGGCAGATGTGACGAAGGAAAACCTCTAATGCTTTTTAGAAGTATATTAAGAGTAACAAGATTACCTGGGAAAGAGTGGGACTTACTGGAGACCAAAGGGACAACCCTGTGCATTGGTGAGGTCTTAAATGAATACTTTTCACAAAGGAGAAAGGCATTGTAGCTGGAGATTCATTCGGGACGATGAGGTTCCAGAACATGTTAAAGTTAATAAGGAGGGGTAAATGTTTTAGTGGGCATCAAATTGCATAAATCCCAAAGGCCTGATGGGGTGTATTCCAAGCTGCTATGGGAGGCAAGGGAGTGTTTGCTGTGGCCCTGATGGAGACATTTAATTCTTTGGCTGCAGGTGAAGTGTCAGATGACTGGAGGATAGCCAATGTTGTTCTTTTGTTTAAGAAGGGCAACAAAATTATTTTGGGAATTTACCAGCTAGTAAACCTTAGGTCATTGGAAGGGAAATTATTCACCAAGATTCTTAGAGACAGGATTTACTTACATTTGGAAAAATATGGACTTATTAGTGAAACACAGCATAGCTTTATGTGGGGGGAGAATGTATCTTACAAATCTGATTTTTCTTGAGTAAGTGACAGAGATGATTGAGGGCAGATGGTAGATGTTGACTGCATAGATTTTATCAAGGCTTTTGACAAGGTCCCTTTTTGCAGGCTGATACAGAAGACGAAGTCACCAGGGTTCCACAGCTGGTAAAATGGATACAGAACTGGCTTGGTCATAGAAGACAGTAGTGGTGGGAGGGTATTTTTCTGACTGGACATCTGTGACCAGCGGTGTTCTACAGTGATCAGTGCTGGGATCCCCTTGTTTGTACTATGTGTAAATGATCTGGAGGAGAATGTAGATAGTTTGATTCCTAAGTTTGCATACATCAGAAAAATTGGGGAAGCTGCAAGTAGTGAGGAGAATTGCCAAAAGATAGGGGCTGGAAACTTGGGTGGGAGAAATGGCAGATGGAGTTTAATCTGGACAAATGCAAGGTGATGCATTTAGGAAGGTCTAATGCAGGAGGAAGTATACAGTTAAATGGTGGAACCCTTAGAATAATGAACATGAAGGGATCGCGCTGTACACATCCACAGTTCCCTAAAAATGGCAACACAAGTGAATAAGGTGGTCAAAAAGGCATATGGCATGCTTGCTTTCAGCAGGCATAGAGTAAAAAGTATTGGCAAGTCATGCTGCAGCTGTATAGAACTTTAGGTAGGCCACGTTTGGAATACCGTGTATTGTACTGGTTGCTACGCTACCAGAAGGATGTGGAGGATTTGGAAGGGGGTACAGAAAAGGTTTTCCAGGATGTTTCCTGGTTTAGAGAGTGTTAGCTATGAGGAGAGATTGGACAAACATGGTTTGTTTTCATGTGAATGTCAGAGGCTGAGAGGTGACTTGATAAAAGTTCACTAAATTATGAGAGCCATGGATAGAATGGATAGTCAGAGTCCTTTTTTTTGCAGGGTAGAAATGTCAGTTCCTAAGGGACGTAGATTTAAAATAAAGGGTAGAAAGTTTAATAGATATATGAAGGCAAGTTTTTTTTACACAAAGGGTGGTAATTGCCTGGAGTGTGCTGCCAGAGGTGGTAGTAGAAGCAGATGCAATCGCAGTGTTTAAAAGGCATCTTTTACAGATGCATGAATAAACAAGGAATATGGACTGTATAGAGGCAAAAGGTTTTAGTTTAGAAAGGCGGCATGTGTTGGTGCAGGTTTGATTGGCCGAAAAGCCTGTTCCTGTGCTGTGTTGTTCTTCTGAAGTTGTGACTTTTCACTACGGACAATTGAAATACTGAAACTCAACAAGTGTTAACCCAGTATGAAATGGATCTCATTGATTTTGATGCTCCTTATCCCAAACAAAGACCTTTGGCTTTCCATAATGAGACAGAAAGTTAATCAGCTGCTGTATTAGCAGTCGGGGAAAATAGAAGTGAGGCTACAATCAACTCGGTCATGATGTTATTGATTGGCAGCGCTTGCTTGAAGTGATGAATGACCTAACTCACCTGTTTTCTTATGCATCTGTTTTAATCTTGTCTTCCAAACTATGCCACCTGGGAATCAGATTTATGATCCTGAAATAAAGGAGAAGAATGAAGACCACAGGAGAAGGAGAGACTTCTGAGATAATTAACTAACTCTGGATCTTGTCAAGCCTTTTATATATGTTTCAGTGAGGTGAGGTTTTCTCATTGACCTATAGAGGAGACAAATTGGCCAAGTTTATTTCTTAATGAGAAGATGGAACCACCTTGACAATGGAGGTGACATGAGCACCTACACCCAGAGTATTTACTTTTGCAAAAGCACCCAGTAACAATCGGCTGCTATTAAAGTTCAAACCTCGCTGAGTCCTGTTCATTCTTCTCCTTGGGTATGTATATTGGAAATTTCAAAATTTCAGCTGAGAAATCTATTGGAATTAATATTTAATGTGCATGTTCATATTAAGGTTTCATATATTGGGTTGAAATTGTTGTACAATTTTCCTTGTGTTCCTGTTTCTCTGATAAAGCACTTGCGTACAGATTTCCTAATGAGAAAAAAACAGCTTTTATTAATTGATTGTCAGAATCTCTTTTAATAAGTGGATGATGATTGACATTGTTTTTGTATCATCCCACCTTCCCCATCTTGTATTTATTTTAATGTTTGCTTGTTTTGCTTAGGGAACAATTTGATGTATGTAGGTTATTAATATCTACCTACTTATCTCTGTTATCCCTTCTGCCCTACAACACTGTCGACCCCAAAGATTTCTTCACTCTATAGGTTGCAGTTTTTGAATATTCCTGTTTCTTTTAATCATTCTACCATTGGTGACTGTGCCTTCAGCTGCCTAGACCCCAAACTTGGGAATTCCCTCCTTAGGGCTCTAAATGTGCAGATGATACTAAACTAGGGGGCATAGTGAATTTTTAGGATGATGTTGAGTGACTTCAGAGGAGCATTGACAAGCTAGCCAAATTGGCAGACACCTGGCAGATGAATTTCAATGCAGAAAAATGTAAAGTAATGCATTTTGTTGGAAGAAACCTGGAGAGACGGTACAGGTTTGATGGTACAACAGTATAGGAGCAGAGGAAGCTCTGGCTTCATGTGCATGATGAAGGTGGGCAGGCGAGTTTCACCAGTTGGTAAAAAGGCTTATAAGATCTTTAGGTATAAAAGCAAGGAAGTGATGCTACACCTATGCAAATCATTGGTCAGGCTACTTTTGGAGTGTTGTGTTCAGTCCTGAGCACCTTATTTAAGGGAGAATTTTAAACTCCTGAAGAGGGTTCAAATGGGAATTTACTAGAATGGTACCAGGACTGAGGGATTTTAGATACAAGAAAAGATCAGAGAAATTGGACTTAGTCTCCATGGAGAAGAGAAGATTAAGAGATTACTGTATTGACATGCTCAAAAATTGAGCAATTTTGACAGGGCAAAAGGAGGACATTATGTTTCCATTAGTTGGTACATTAGTAATGGGGGTCACAAATTCATGATTGTCAGCTGGTAGTGAGACGGGAAGAAACTTCTTTACGCAGTTGTTAGGATTTGTAATGCGTTACCTGGGAGAGTGGTGCGCGTGATTTCCTTAGGAGGTTTCAAAAGAGCTGGGTATGTGTTTGAAAGTAATGGAGATAGAGCTAGAAAATGGGACTAGCTAGGTAGCTCTTTCGGGAGTCAGCACAGACAAAATGTGTTGAATGGCCTCTTTCTGTACTGCGAAGTTCTGTGATTCTTGCCTCATCCCTACTTACAAACACTCATTAAAATCTGCCTATTTGAGTTTTCAGTTATCTGGTCTAATACCCTTATGTGATTTGATGTCATAACTTGTAGCGTAACAGTCATATAAAACACCTCTGGTTGTTTTATGAGGGGCACATTATGAATTTGCATTTCCTTATTCTGTATCTTGGGAGGTACAGAAAGTGTTGCTTTGTTAATCAGTAGCATCTTTCAAAGATGTATGTGATATGCAACAATTGTGCAACAGTTCTAGAGTCATAGTCATACAGCACAGTCCATGCCGAACATAAGCCCAACTAAACTAGTCCCACATGCCTGCTTCTAGCCCATATCCCTCCAAACCCTTCCTATTCATGTACTTATCCAAATATCTTTTAAATGTTGTAACTGTGCCTGCATCCACCACTTCCTCTGGAAGTTCATTCCACACAGGAACCACCCTGTGTAAAAAAAAAAAATTTGTTTCTCATGTCTCTTTTTGAGATTCTCTCCTCTCACCTTAAAAATGTGACCCCAGTCTTGAAATCCCCTATCCTAGGGAGAAGACAAAGTACCATTAACAATCTATGCTGCTCATTATTTTATAAACTTAAGGTCACTTTTCAACCTCCTATGCTGCAGTGAAAAAATTCCGAGCCTATCCAGCCTCTCTTTTTAACTTAAACCTTCCATACCTGGCAACATCCTGGCAACATCTCTTCTGGATCCCCTCCAGCTTAATAATATTCTTCCTATAACTGGGTGACTAGAATTGGGCACAGTATTGCAGAAGAGGCCTCACCAATGTCCTGTACAACCTCAACATGACTTTCCAACTCCTATATTCAAAGGACTGAGCAATGAAGGCAAGTGTGCAAAATACCTTTTTAATGCTCTGTCTATATGTGATGCAAACTTCAAAGAGTTATGTACCTGCACCCTTAGGCACCTTTGTTCTACAAGGCCCTACCATTAATTGGACAAGCCCTACCCTTGTTTGTTGTGCCTCACATTTATCCAGATTGAACTCCATCTGCCATTTTAAGAACATAAGAACATAACAACTAGGAGCAGGAGTAGGCCATCTGGCCCCCTCGAGCCTGCCCCACCATTTAATAAGATCATGGCTGATCTTTTTGAGACTCAGCTCCACTTACCCGCCCACTCACCATAACCCTTAATTCCTTTACTGTTCAAAAATTTATCTAGCCTTGCCTTAAAAACATTCAGCGAGGTAGCTTCAACCGCTTCACTGGGCAGGGAATACCACAGATTCACAACCCTTTGGGTGAAGAAGTTCCTCCTGACCTCAGTCCTACATCTGCTTCCCTTTATTTTGAGGCGATGCCCTCTAGTCCTAGTTTCACCTGCTAGCGGAAACAACCTCCCTGCCTCCACCTTATCTATTCCCTTCATAATCTTATATGTTTCTATTAGATCTCCCCTCATTCTTCTGAATTCCAGTGAGTATAATCCCAGTCTACTCAGTCTGTCCTCATAATCCAACCCTGTCAACTCTGGAATCAACCGAGTGAATCTCCTCTACACCCCCTCCAGTGCTAGTATATCTCTTCTCAAGTAAGGAGACCAAAACTGCACACAATACTCCAGGTGTGGCCTCACCAGGACCCTATACAGCTGCAGCATAGCCTCCCTGTTTTTAAACTCCATCCCTTTAGCAATGGCAGACAAAATTCCATTTGCCTTTTTAATTACCTGCTGCACCTGCAATCCTACTTTTAGCGATTCATGCACAAAGACACCGAAGTCCCTCTGCACAGCAGCGTGCTGCAATTTTTTACCATTTAAAACATAGGCCATTTTGCTGTTATTCCTACCAAAATGGTTGACCTCATACTTATCAACATTGTACTCCATCTGTCAGACCTTTGCCCACTGACTTAGACTATCTATATCCCTCTGCAGACTTTCAGTGTCTTCTGCACACTTTGCTCTACCACTCACCTTAGTGTCATCTGCAAATTTTGACACACCACACTTAGTCCCCAACTCCAAATCATCTATGTAAATTGTAAAGCATTGCGGTCCCAACACTGATCCCTGAGGCACACCACTAGCTACTGACCGCCAACCAGAAAAATACCCATTTACCCCTACTCTTTGCTTTCCACTGGTCAACGAATCCTCTATCCATGCCAATACATTACCTGAAATACCGTGCAACTTTATCTTATGTAGCAGCCTTTGGTGTGGCACCGTGTCAAATGCCTTCTGGAAATCCAGGTACACCACATCCACAGGTTCCCCATTGTCCACCATGCAAGAAATGTCCTCAAAGAATTCCACCAAATTAGTTAAACATGACCTACCCTTCATGAACCCATGCTGGGTGTTCCCAATGGGACAATTTATATCCAGATGTCTTGCTATTTCTTCCTTAATGATAGATTCAAGCATTTTCCCCACTACCGAAGTTAAGCTAACTGGCCTATAGTTACCTGCTTTTTGTCTACTTCCTTTTTTAAACAGTGGTGTCACATTGGCTGTTTTCCAATCTGCGGGAACCATCCCAGAGTCCAGTGAATTTTGGTAAATAATTACTAGTGCATTTGCTATTTCCCCCATCACCTCTTTTAGTACCCTGGGATGCATTTCATCAGGGCCAGGAGACTTGTCTACCTTTAGCCCCATTAGCTTGCCCAGCACTGCCTCCTTAGTGATAATGATAGTTTCTAGGTCCTCACCTGCTATAACCTTCTTGCCATTAGTTTTCAGCATGTTATTTGTGTCTTCCACTGTGAAGACCAAAACAAAATAACTGTTTAATGTCTCGGCTATTTCCTCATTCCCAGTTATTAAATTGGCCTTCTCATTCTCTAAAGGACCAATGTTTACCTTCTCCACTCTTTTACGATTTACATATTTATAGAAACTTTTGCTGCCTGTTTTTATATTCTGAGCTAGTTTACTCTCATAATCTACCTTACTTTTCTTTGACCATTTAATCAAGATCTCTTTGTAATCTTAGAAAACATTCCATTTTTAAATATTGGCAACATTTTTAAAAAGCCAAGTTATAATATTGGGTGACTATTACTTGGCCAATTTTTAAAATACTCAACTACAAAGATTGCATGTAGCCAGACCTAATGGTAGTTGGATAATTTACAGAGGTTTGTAATTTACTAAATGGACTTGTTGTATCTACTTTTGCACTTGCATTCAGTCCACTATTAAAAAGACTTCCTGCTCATTATTGTTCTTTACAGCTATTGCAACTGATAACAAATTGGCTGTAATTGAAGAACATTGCTCATCAAGTCAGCTTCATTATAAAATGTGGTCATTTGGCCCATCAAAGTTGTGTGCTTTCTATAGAAGTCTGCCTAGACCTAAGGATCCTTGCAATCTTCCTAAAATACAAGACCAAATGTATGAAAGCTTTTGAGTAATAGTACGACTTTACCAAGCGCAAATGGCAATATTCATATACTGTAATGGTGGCAAGGGTTAGTAAAGTGCACTGTGGTGTTGAATTTCTGCTTATTTCAGGTGAAAATCTGCATAACAAGGTCTCCAATAGAAGAACCAACCATCTGTGGACACTAAGTATGTTTAGACCTAACGCTTCCCCATGATAATCTGTTGGGCAGTTTAGTGATTTCCTTCCTGTTTCAATTGAACT